CGGAGGCAGCAGGGAGAGCCAGGGGATGGAGGTCGGAAAACTCATAAAACCCAGCGAGGTTTCTGCCCTGCTTGCCAGCTCCCTGGGCTCTAGGGTGGAGTAACCATTTTTTGTCTCCCTGGCAGAAGGTGCAGAGCGGACCCCCGATGCAGCAGCGCTGACTGTTACCGGTCGCTGCCCCCTCAAGCTCAGGAGGGAGGAAGACCTGGAGAAGAGGGCGGCCAGGCAGGCGCACGCATGCTTCCTGACTCCAGCCCAGAGTCCTCCAGCTTTCTCCCCCTGCCTCCGCCGCTTTGTGCTCCCAGATGCAAGTCTGCATAGAGGAAGCTTTGGGTCCAAGGTCAATGTCCAGAGCGCCAGCAAGGTGTACGATCATCTCAGAGAGGCCTTAAGTAGCCCTGAGCATGCAGCAACCTAATGCGGTGTACCTAGGGCTTTCCAAAAAGGGTGGTGAGATCCCAGCTCACTTCTCAGCTGATGCAGAAGCAGTGCGGCAGGGGCAGGGCAGCAGAGCCAGGACAGAGCTCCCTGCAGCATTTTCCAGCTGGCAATAAGTGAGGGGCAGGGACAGGATTTGGGGCAGCCCCAATTCCTTGCGGGCCAGCTCTGTGGGGAGCAAGCACACCCTCAACCAGTGCCACAGGACTTCACTCCCAAGGTGGGGACAGCCAGCCCAAAGGCTGACCCCCAGGAAGCTCAGGGTGCTGCCAGCAAAGGAAGCAGCAGCCAGGCCCTTGGGGACAAGCGTCCTTCACACCCTCTGCCACTACCATCCACAGGGGGAGGAGCGCCACCTCCCGACTCTGGCCATCCTCTCGTCCTCAGGATTCCGGGATCAAAAAATGATTCAAAACCACAGGTTGTTTTTTTTTTAAACTTCTTTTTAATTAGGTGCTAATTTGACTATAAATTCCCTCTGCTGTCATTACCATTTCAAAATAAATTCACCAGCTCTCCAGGCACCCCTGGAGCTCCTGCCACAGAGTAGGATTTTGTAAATGAGAAGACTTGAAAGATTTTTGTCAAGGCAGAATTAGCAATGCATAACTTGCTATAGGTTTTCATCCCTGACATGTCACCATTTATTCCAATAAACCCAGGACCCTGTGACATCCCTTACTGTTATGATCAAAGCAGCAGCCACAGTCTAGGGCAAGTTTTTAGCTAGCTAGGATCTATGCTTTAAATTGGTCAACTCACAGCCAAACAAAAACGTCAACTAAAGGCTATCTACCAGGCAGGAAAACCTCAGTCTTCAGAGCTGCTCATAAAGCCTCAGCCACAAGATGGATAATAGTTTGATGTTACACTTTCCTACACTGAGGGATTACTGATTTACAGCACTCTCTTCTACCTATCTGCCAATTTGAAAGAGACTTTAAAAAAAAAAAAATCAGTGGTTGAGACCTCTCTTGTTACACTTGGCTGAAATCAGCCAACAGGTTCATGTGTTAAATGAGGCTGACAGGGAGCCAGCCAGATTGTGCAGTCATCTAGTCTGGTTTCTAGGGAAACAAGGTAAATGTTTTTCCTCCTTCTGGCTACCTTTTAAATCTTAAAAAGGTTTTATGCATCGCCATACAAAATACTCCACATCCTTCTCTATTTCAATTAGAGCAAATAGTATCAAATTAGGTTCATCTCGGAACAGCTCTATGCCTCAACTCATTCAGCGTGTTAATCTGGAAGGTTATTGCCCTAATCAGTGTCTTGTCTCCAATTATGGTCAGTAAAGGATGCACTAACAGAGTTATCTAAAATTACATGAGCCTTCATGCTATGCCCTGAAACATGAGTGATCTCACTATTGTGGCTGGAGGCACACAAGCACTTGGGACTTCCACTGCCTTTCTTGGTATAACACCACCACAGCTCCCACAGACTGCACAGTACTCCAGGCAGGACTCGCGCTGCACACAGATAATTGATCTTGTACACAAGTGCTGTCTCCTCTGTCCTTCACCAGGAGATTCAGCTGGGAACATAAGCCAAACCCTCCCCCAACACCAGAGGGAATATTTTGCACTATCCAGTAATGCAATGCTGGCACTCACAGCCCTCCCTCCTCCTCCCTGAAATACACTTAGACAGTTGGCTCAACAAGAAAATGCCACCCTTCCCTCCTTCCAGACAATTATACAAGGCCTGGAGGCAGAGCCTTTCAGACAGGCAAGGGAAAGGATTCAGAGAAAATAAGCTGATATGCTAGGTGGGAACAACATATCATCTGCTGCCTTCTACTGGTTTCATGAACAGCCAGTGACAAACTGCATCTGAACACTGTGTAACACACTGGATACTTCTCCTGCCATTTGGAAGCTACTGAATTCCCATGGCAACAGCTAGCATCAGCCA